CATACTTCTTGCAAAAAAGAGAAAGAATACAATGGGGGAAGCAGAGAGGTATGCTTTTACCTTCTACAATTTCATGAAGCACGTTGTTAAATCCTGTGAAGCCAAAAGGGTATATTCAAGTGCACTAAGGTGTACATTTTCATTTATTATCCACATAGTTTTCTTCTCCGTTAGAACTGAGAGAATGTCTGTCCCTCCGTCTGGATTCAAGAGATCGTTTTTTTTACAAGTAGGGCTTGGGTTGGGAAAAAATAGTCCTTAGGCTTTTCCTCTGGAGATTTAGTTCGGCCACAGAAGCAGAGGCATATTATTCTTTATCATTTTTTTCTCTGTTCCTCAACCCTAATCCTCTTCTGCCTGTGCCTCCTCCCTGATCTTTTCCTTCCCTTTTCCCTCCTTGCCTCTTCTTCATTTCTAATCTATATTCTTCCATGACTCTACTTACCAAAATAATGTCTTAGTTGGGCAAATGGGTTAAGGGGTGGAGGTTGCAGTGGTGTGGGGAGAAGTGGCAGAGCAAGTCCCAGGATCTGGGTGTGAGCAGGAAACTAAGGAGGAATTGCTTTATTTCTCTCTCCTCGCCTGCCCCCTGCCTCCTTCAACCCTAAGCTAAGTCAAGGATTCCAATGTCTTAGAGTAAAGGATAGCGATAGGAAGACCAGTTTGTAGGGTAGAAGATGATGGTGGCTTGCACCAGGGTTGGTGCAGTGAGTACGGAAATAAATGGTTGAAATCTGCTTGTGTTTTGAAGGAAAAGGCAGAATTTTCTGGAGGAAAAAATGGACAAAGGTAAAAGAGGAAGAGAAGAAACATACACCACATCAAACAGACCTGCCATGAACTGAGATGGGAAAGTGTACAGAAGGAGCTGGTTGTGAGGAGCAGAGAGGGAGCTCAGTTTGGGACATGATAAATTGGAGCTGTGAAGAGGAGAGCTTTTGTTTTTAATTAGAGTTCAGGGAAAAGGTATAGGCTAGAGATGTGAATTTGGGAATCATCACAACTGAAGTATTTAAACCAGAAGATTAAATGAAATTACTTAGGAAGGGCATGGAGACTAAAAAAAGGAAGTGCCCCAAGGAGTGGGTTTTGGAACGTGCCAACACTAGAGGATGGGGAGATAAGGAGGACCAGCAGAAAGCAACTGAGGTGGAATAACCACACAGGAACATACAGTGATTGTTTTAGTTGTATTTTGGTTAGCAATTGGAGTTTATGAATACGAATGTGATTTCACTATGTGCTTTATTTTTCTTTACAACTTGAGAATATGACACCTCTGGTAACAACATGCACATGCTCCTGTGAGTTATGGGTGTGTGTGTGTGTGTTGTGCCTGTTTTCTAATTAAACTGATACATAATTAAATAGATATATATTTTTAGCGTATATATATATATATACACGCTAAAAATATATATATACATACAGATATATATTTTAATTCCGTTTCATCAGTAGAAAAATGCTATGAAATTAATTTCAATTTTCATTGTTCATGATTTGCTATATTATTGACATCCTATAAAATATTTTTTGTCCAAGCAAATACTTTGTCTTTCTTCTGGTTTTGTCTGATTGATAGTTAATTCATGTGTTTGGATTCAGTTTAAATTTCAGACCACTATAAAATAGAGTTTAGCTATATTCTTTTTATCTCAATAATTAAATTATACTCATAACTTTCCGTTTAAAAAGCTATAACTGTTAAAATATATGACATGTTTAAAGAGTAAGGCACTGAATAGGTAAAGGAAATTTATGTAAACTTAAAATTATTTTGTGGGTGGCGATATTTTTTTTCCACACCATACTATTTCATCCTTGACATCAACATTGGCTTTTATTGTGGAAAATGAATCTTTCTGCTTCACAAGGTATGATGCTCATGGTTAAATGACCTAATGGGGAGAACCAATGCCTGATATGTAACTTTGCTCCAATGGAGACTGACTTAGGAGCAGGGGGTGGGAATTATAGGAGCGTCCCATGATGGAGATTGGGGAAGGAGAAGAAGAGGAAAGGGAGTATGCTGGGAGGGAAAAGATGAAAAGATGATGAAAATAGGGAGGAGAGGCAGCGCTGATAATGAGAAGGGATGCAGAACAACCTGTGCTAGATATAAAGATGGAGTACAAGGGTAGCCTTGTAAAGGGTATCATGGAAATAAGAATAACTTAGGAACAAGGAACTTGGAAGTTAGAATGAGAAAAAGGACCTTTATCGGCGTCATTGCTAGCAAGATCAAGGGCTTAGAGGGGATTCACAGCCAAAACAAGGGCAGCAGGTGTCTCTAAAAGTGCTCAGCTGTGCCTGTGCATCAGCTGGATTTCCTGAGGTGGCTGTTACAGATGCTACAACGCACTGATGCCAGGGAATCTGTATTTTTTAAACAAACACCCAGGCCCTCTCCTCACCCCCAAGTGAATCGTATGCCTGCTAAAATTTGAGGACCACTGAAACAATAGGGAAAGTAATAGGGAAAGAACATGTAAGAAATAAATCTTGAAAATGTATGTAGGAGACTCAAATGGAGAGGAGAGTCTAAAGGAATTTGCAGAATTAGAAATATGTAGAAAAAAAATAATGAAAGTAGGGATGCCTGGGTGGCTCAGTCTTTAGAGTGTCTGACTCTTGGCTTCTGCTCAGGTCATGATCTCGGGGTCCTGGGATGGGGGGATCAAGCCCCACGTGGGGCTCTGGGGTTCCATGCTCAGCGCAGTTTGCTTGGAATTCTTTCCTCCTCCCTCTCCCCCCCACCCCTACCCCCTGCTCTTGTGCCTTGAAGCACTCTCTCTCAAATAAATTAATAAATAAAATCTTTAAAAATAATAATAATAATGAAAGTAGGTAACGTTCAGGAATAAAGTAACAATGAAATGCCAGGGAAGTATGAGATGAGTAAAGAAGGAAGGCAATGGTGACAGGAACCAAAAGAATGCATGGGATTGAATTATGAGAGGGCAGGCATGACACCCTCAAAGAGGACAGTTAGGGGAAGAGAAAGATGGAAGACCACACATGGCCTCCATAACTCTGCTTTCCAAGAGCTAAGCCGTGGAAGGCCTGTCAGTACCCAGAAGTTGACAGAAGAAAGCAAATTATGACAGAAGAGCAGATCAGTGGAAAGGGACCACCAAGCAGCTACTGCATGTTGCTTTCTATGTTGGGACTGTAGTTAAGTCTCTCTCTGCTGTCAGAGGTGCTGAGTATCAAACATCATCCCCACCCCCACGACCCACCAATATCTTTAGATAATCACTTTCTTTGCAAAAATAACACGGAGTTGTTTCATTTCCTAATCCACTGTGGTGGATTGAACTTTGTATCGGGTCTGAGTACAGATGAATAAGGGAGACCTCATAGGTGGTGATTTTTGTTAGAGGCCTTAGCACACTTTGCATGAGATCAGATGAACCAGAAAAAGTTACAGATAACTGGCAGGGACGAATGTTTTCTTTCTCCTCTTCACCATTGTTCTTTGTTCATTTGCTTTAATTTGCACTGAAATATATGTAATAAGTAGTTAAGGTATGTTTTATTTTTAGGCTCCCATTTCTGAAATGTAACAGTCTGTAAGTACAGAATTAAGAGCAAATTCTCCTAAGTGTCACACACCAGCGACATATTTCTTAGACTTCGCAAACCTGTATCCCTCATCAGCTTCTTGCCCTAGCTTCTGAATAGTCCAAGCAACCAAGGGTTTTTCTTTTGATCATGTGATAAATAAATACATAAATAAAATTATAGGAATATCCATTATATCTTTACAAGAAAGAGTGTTGTCTTCCTAAAGAAACCGGTACTTTCCCCTAAAAGTCATTAGTGTAAATGGAAGGGGAGGAGGAGTGCTCCCTAGACGTTAGTTTTTCTCATTGGATTCTAATATTTCTAAATAAAAAATGGAATTATGGGAATTTTAGTAATTTAACTGGTAAGTGTAGAGAAAATAATAAAAACTCAACACAGAGTACAAGATATATGAAAAATGCTTTGACAGTTGGATGCAAAGAGATGTAGGCAAGTACTGCACCAACCAAGTGAACTGCCCTCTTCTTTCACTTTGGCTGGTTTTTTGCTGGTTTATTCTTTTCCCTGCTGAAATGCTTCCTTTGTCTTTCCTAATCCAAAGATTCCTTCATTCCACGGAATCCTTACCCCCATAATATGCTTGACCAGTTCTTAGATGATGATTATAAAAGTCAGTAATTCTTCAATTAGTAATCAATTTTACATTTTTTTCCAAGTGAAATGAGAAAGCACTAGGAACAAAATGGGTAATGATAAAATAGCATAATGAAATTTTTATGCTATAAATATTCTTGTTCTATCCAGTAAAATTCTCCTTATGCCCACTTGGCATTAATATGTTTTCTCCCCATTTCTCAGCTATTAAAATTTACTCACTCTGCCCTACCTATCATGGGGGGAAATATAGGTAGTATTTATTGAATGCTTGCTCTGTGTTAGTCACTGTTGTAGGCATTTCACAAGGATTATGACCAATCTTAGCCACCTTTTAGAATTCTTGTATATTTATGCCTAATTTCCTGTGGAGGAAACTGAAGCCTGCCTAAGGTCACCCAGCTAGTATGTGGCAGAGCCAGGATTAACATTCAAATTAGCCTGAATATAAAAGCTCATACTTTTCTTTTCACTCTATACTAATGTGACTTCAAGTTTATTAATAACTAACAATAATTTTATTTTGAATACTAATACCTGACATATGTAATTATAAAGAATCTTCCTTGTGGTTGAGCAAAACTCGATGTATTTCACTTTTAAAATCTTTAAAAAAATATCTTGGTCTTAAAAAATATCTTGGTCATTTTACTTAAAAAACTCAGGACATCATATAAACCTCTTAGAATAGTTCTTATCTGTTCAAAAGGAAGTCATGCTATTTGGAGTTCTGTTTCTCATTTGCCATCTGGTACTAAGGGCTGCAAATTCTTTCTGCTTTTTTGTGTAACTTGCCTTTATCTTTGTTGTTCCAGTACTGGATACCAGTTTATTTACTATTCACCTGAAAACACAGCCAAAGCAAAAGAAGTTCTCAGCAACATCAATCAACTACAACCTCTGATAGCAACCCATGCAGACCTACTGCTTAATTCTGCAAGCCAGCATTCTCCAGACAGCTTGAAGAATTCTTTAAAGATGCTTTCAGAAAAAGTAAGATCCAAATCACTACTACAGTGGGGAAAATGAAATACCCAAATCCCCATTGGTGTTGCTTTCTGCATACATTGCCTTTCATAGCATCTGGAAATGTAAAATAGACTAGGTTAAAAAGTAAGCTTCAAAGTATTGCCACAGGATCAAAATGAATAGGCCTCATTCTCTTTTCAAATCTTACTGATTAATTTTTTTTAAAGATTTTATTTATTTATTTGAGAGAGAGAGAGAAGAATGAGAGATAGAAAGCACGAGAGGGAAGAGGGTCAGAGGGAGAAGCAGACTCCCTGCTGAGCAGGAAGCCCGATGTGGGACTTGATCCCGGGACTCTAGGATCATGACCTGAGCCAAAGGCAGTCGCTTAACCAACTGAGCCACCCAGGTGCCCTGATTAATTTTTTTTTAAGTAGGAAATGACACCTGTTATTGGCTAAGGTATATTTTCTCTTTTTCTTGACATTTTTCATTCTCTTTGGTTCATGGTCTTATTAATAATGAGTTAAATTAGATTTTGAAAATTACTTTATTTTCCTCTGGTGATCAACTAATTTTTACGCATATGAAGCTATACATTTGAATTAGGAATGTCACTTCATTTGAAAGCACAACTTTGATGTGGATTCTTATCAGTAGCATGGGGTAATTCCTCTGCCTCAGTTTGCTTTCTGCAACCTTATCTACTGGGAGAAAGTTTTAAAAGAATTAAAAAATATTAGCTATTGTTTGAAATGTAGTGGGACCTAAGCCTTAATTTTTTCAAAGGTGCCTTGCACCTGTGTATGCAAAGAGGAAATGTAGTCTGGCATGGGGTAAACACTCAGCATCAACGTTCATAGCTAATTAAGGCAACTGAAAGATTCAGAGAGAGCCAAGATAGAAAAGGTAAGTTGTAGCTTGAGTTTAACTATAAAACCAGGTGTCCTGGAGTCCAATTCCAATACACTTATCCTTAATCTTTGCATTCTGAGGACATCTTGCAGTTTATTATGAGATAGTTCCAATAAATATGACCTTGAAGAAACTGAGCAAAAAAAAAAATTCTCATTATATCATTTTAGAATAAAATAATGTAGTTTGTCATGTCCCTAAGGAACAGATTCATAAAAACTTGGGTATTATATATTTATATATGTTTGATTCATATATGTTAATTTATAATATTAAAACCTGGCACTTATTGAACATTTTAATGTATACATTATCATATATTTTTCTTACCGAAAAAAACTAATACCTATTTTCATTAAAAATTAGCTAATATTGGGGCACCTAGGTGGCTCAGATGCTTAAGCATCTGCCTTTGGCTCAGGTCATGATCCGGGGTCCTGGGATCGAGCCCTGAATCAGGGCTCCTGGCTCAGCAGAGAGCCTGCTTCTCCCTCTCTCTCTGCCTCTCTCCCTGCTCATGCTCTCTCTCTATCTGAATCTCTATGTCTTAAATTAATGAGTAAAATCTTAAAAAAAAATTAGCTAGTGTCTATTCAGAAAGGTCAACTGAATTGCCTCATAAATTAAAACGTGAAAAGTGACAACCTAAGACTTCCAGTTCAGAATGCAACAGTCTTTCCATGACTTAACAGGTACTTCCATCATGAAATGGAAAGAAAAAAAATGACCCACACTTCACAGATACCCTTCTGTTCCAAGTATTGTGCTTTATGACTTACATGATTTCATTTAGTCTTCAAATTTAATTTTTAAATTGTGGGTACTATTATCTCCATCTCACAAAGGAAAATGACTGGAGCTCAGAGAAGTTAAAAAAAAGATGTGTGAAATCACGCAGCTAGAGTCAAACCTAAGGTTCAAACAAAACTGGGGTTCAGACCCAGGTCTGGTTGACTCTGGGTTGGAAAATCTTTCTGGTATCCTCTTTTTAATATATGTGTTTTGACATTTCCTTTTTAAAAAATTTTTAATATCTTTTTGTTAGACGTACTCCTCAGTAATGCTTCAGTATCCTGATAGTCAATAAATATGTCTAATAGTCAATAAATATGTTATGGCTAGAAAAAAAGGGGGGAAAAGAGGAGAGTGTTGCATATAGTAAAATAATATAATTTCATTTTGGTTGATTTCTTTTTTGGATTTGCAGATGATGTGAGTTTTTTCTGGGTTCACCTAAACAGAAAATCTTAGCAAACAGCACATCACTGCAGTGATTACAGAGCAGTGTTTATATTCTTCCTGTGCATTGGGCAGGGGTTTTGATGTCCTTTCATACATCATTTACAACTTGCTGCAGTGATTGGGGTGGAGGATTGGACAGGGTGTGAATTTTCCCCTGTAATTCAGTATTGCTCCAACTTTTTTCCCTATGTTTTTCTACTAAGTAGACAAACTTCATCTACTAATAAATCTGTCAGTCCTTGAAATCAGGGAGATCTTTTTGAAGTTAAGTTTGCAAGCCATGCATTATTTTAAGAATTCTGTCTGGAATTTCAAAGAATTACCTAGGTTAACAGAGTTTTGCATAATCTATGAAGACGGCTAATAGTTTAGGGTTTAAATAATGTATGGTCCATGAATGTAGCATAAAAGATAAATATTCTTAGTGGCATCTTAAATTTTATTATAATTTAATATTAGAAAGATATAGCTTAAAATTTTTTGGATTTTTGTTGTTGTTTTAAGGTTTTATTTCTAAGTAATCTCTATACCCAATGTGGGGCTCAGACTTAACAACTACAAGATCAAGAGTTGCATGCTGTAGTGACTGAGCCAGCCAGGCTCCCCTAAGACATTTTGTCTTTAAGATCGGGGTCTTTCAGGGCACCTGGGTGGCTCAGTTGGTTAAGCGACTGCCTTCAGCTCAGGTCATGATCCTGGAGTCCCGGGATTGAGTCCCACATCGGGCTCCCTGCTCAGCAGGGAGTCTGCTTCTCCCTCTGACCCTCCCCCGTCTCATGTGCTCTCTCTCTCTCATTCAAATAAATAAATAGATCTTTAAAGAAAAAAAAGATTGGGGTCTTTCACACTGTGGGTTAGAGCATAAAAAACCTTTTTTTGTTGATAGCCCACTTGTTTCTTTTATTGAATCTGAACTGGTTTGTTTAGAAAATAAATACTTTGCTTATTTTCTTTGGAGCTCATTCATATAGCATATTCAATACATAATGGGGATTATCTGTGTTCATACTTATCAAGGAAACTCCATACTCAAGTATGGGAGAGTTCTCTGAACTAGGCTGGGGAGGGCTGAGGGCAGCCCATGGGTAGTGTAGAGGAGGCATTCAGTTATTTTGTAATGAGATGGCATCTTTCCTCTTAGGTAACATGTTGCATATGGAGATGATAGCAATGGACACATTATCAGATCAATATATACTCAGAGTCTGGGGGTGGAAAGCAAAGGACAACAGAGACAACTGCATATTCAGAGAATCTCAGAGCAGCAACATTTGTAGATCTGAAGTCAATTCATGCCATTTCTACTGTTACTGATAACCAAGCCATAAGACTAAGGCTCCCCAGCAAAATTCCATCCCTCTAAACATCTACTGGTGGAAACAAACAAACAAACACAATTTATGAAAAGTAAAAATACTTACTGAGTTCATACTAATTATCAGGTGCAGTTTCTGACACTAGGTGCATAAAATGGAATAAGACACAGATCTTTCCTTGTCTTCCCAAGAGATTCAAGGTTCTTGATGGTAATGCTTATTTATGATACTAATGTTGATGACAATAATAGCTAGCATTTATTACAGGTTTAATAACTATGAGTGAGGTGTTATTATAACTTTCCACAAGTCCATGAATTTTCAACATTTAATCTTTTTAATCCTATGAAGTAAGTACTGTTAATAGCCTTATTTTATACAGTAGGGGAAACTGAGGTACAAAAATATATATAATGTACCCCAAATCACACACCTTGTGAGTCTAGCTCCAAATGCTGTGAGCTTAGCCACTATGCAAAATGGTCAAATGTTCCCTGAGTTCCATGTTGGACACTTGCATATGGAATGAAGGAAACAAGTAGGGATGTGGGGGTGAGAGTGGGGAGAACAAAACTAAAATTCCGTAAGAATAAATTTTTTTAAATAATTTTTTCATGTCCTAATGTGCACAAACTTAAGTTGTTCTAATTTTTTAATTATTAGTATACCTTCTGATGAATGACTGTGTTTGTTTGTTGCATATTAATTCATGAAAATAATAAAGAAATTATTTAATCTTCTAGAGTCATAACAAAAGACAGACTGAGTTTATATGAATAGCTTGAAGAGAGAAGACAAAGGATAGGCCAAATTTTTAACGTAAGATCTGAAAGGTTAATAATAGGGTGGGATAAAAATATATTTTCCTTTCTGCTAGGCTGAAAGTATGCAATACTATGAAAAAGAAAAGGGAGAAAAAAGTAATGTGATGGAATTCAAACTAAAAAATAAGAACCTAAGTATAGACCAGCGTATGGTATTTATCTCTTATAGCTTAGATATCACATTCTCTATTTCACAGAGATTGATAAATCTTGTTTAGAAAATCATTATTATTGCTCATCAAAAAGCAATATCAAGGGGCACCTGGGTGGCTCAGTCATTAAGTGTCTGCCTTCGGCTCAGGTCATGATCCCAGGGTCCTGGGATTGAGCCCCGCATCGGGCTCCCTGCTTGGCGGGAAGCCTGCTTCTCCCTCTCCCGCTCCCACTGCTTGTATTCCCTCTCTCGCTGTGTCTCTCTCTGTCAAATAAATAAATAAAATCTTAAAAAAAAAGCAATATCAAGCACTTAATTGTGTGTGGTATTGCACTAGATGCTATATGACAAATACTACATAGAAATGGCCCTTATCTTTTACAACGTAAAATTTAAAAGCATGGGGTGTGTCACATTATGACAATTGTTAAATGGCAACAATAACATAAGGATGTTGTTACAAATATTAGAGGCTGTGCTCACAATATATTTGACAAAAGCTCACAACTTCTAATTCCTAGTATCCTTTAACCTTAACATAATATACTGAAACATCCTATTGTATTCAAAAAA